AGACTTTAATTTGTCGCTGATTCTTAAGCGTTTGTGTTCAGATGCGCTGTTATGGGTTTCAGAACTCTAGCTGACTTCAGAAGTCACCGATTCAATCATTGCGATACGTAGCTTTATACTTTTTAGAGATGATAGGGCATTGGGCGAGGAAATCTGCTGCGTTGGCATTCACTTCTGGATTAGCTACTGATGTTCAAATATCTGTCATGCTAGTTTGCTTATTCAGGTAATGAATTGAACTGTTTGACCATTTCCTGAAAGCTCACTGCCTATTTTACCATTGGAACATTGCTACAAGTCTTGACAGATGCACTTCTTTATTACTCTATCAACCTAGAGTTTTCTTTTCTCCCTTTTCTTTCTGTCTTTAAAGAACTAATGTGACTAAAAGGCATGCTTGTATACTCACTTTTAAGAAGGTCTTAAATTAATATATTTTAAGCTTATTCTAAAACGGTGTCTCTGGTGGTCAGCATGTGGATTGCAGGATATCCGCGGCTAGCATTCTTAACCTATGTTGTTAACTGCCTGATTAAACGTGAAATTGATGACCACTATTATAAAATATTAATGAACAGTCCATTAATGGTGTCAGTTCATTTAGCTTAACCGCCATAATGGCAGCTGTGTCAGTAAAATTCAGCCTTTGATTTTTTCTAGCGTTGAAGCATATGGTTAAAAGCGTAGTTGGTCTCAAACTTAGTAGTTACTGAGGCGCAAGGGCAGACTAATGCAGAGTGTGCTGTATGGCCTGAAAAATTTGTTCGCCCATTGTAGTCATACTGTAAAACAGCGTGAAACTTCTATTTCACTGTTTTTATAATAAGACACGACTTATTTATTGGATAATAAATCACTACCCGTATTTCAGTTCATATCTGACGGCATTAAATTTAACCAGTGCGGTGCCTTTGTTTGTAGTCTGCATTAGCTGTAACTTTTCATACCCATCGACCAGCTATCGGTTAGTTTAATGCATAATTTATTATGACAGTTGCGATGAGGCTCAGTTGCAAGTTCATAACCATTGTTAACAGTTTTAGTTGTACAGTGCTTCGTTAACACGTGCTTTCCAATTCAAGGATAGGGGTAATTTCCCTAATACTAACTTTTCAGATCTTTTAAATGTTTATCATGCCATTTATAGTCTTATGTTGACTTCACAGACTAAAATCTCCTTTACAAAAATGAGCTGTCGCAGATAGATTTAGTTTTGTACCTCTCTATGCCTAATAAGTCTTCAATTCAATAATTTGCGGGATCAATTTATTTGTTAAAGATGACCTGAGTTTTCAGGTTCATTTTTAGTCTGACTTTGATGCTGATTTCGTTAGCCAATTGGATTTTTGTTGGGTTTTTTCTGGACCCCTTCAGAAGATCATTATATCGTTTACAAATCGCAGGCTTATGCGTTTGTTTTTTTTGTTCGATTTCTTTCCTTCTTAAGGCTTCGCATACAGACCTTAGTTGTTGACTAACTCTAAAGGCTTCTCGAAATCGCTGACTGACAGGCAGAGAACGAGCTGATATTAGTTGCTTCTCTGAATCACTTCTTGTTCCACCTAAAGATGATCCATCGTACTAAATTAATTTATGAATTGTGCTTGCTTCCAGAAGTTTGCAAAGAGTTGTTCTTGAAGTCTGTTCTTCAGTACTTTCGTAGAGATTTTAAAACATTTTAAGATTTTAAAGATTTTAAGATAAAAAAGTTGACCAGCTAGTAGTTCTTAAGATTCCTGTTGTGTCCTTCGTTCTTCAGTAGAATCAACCTTGCTGTAGTTTAATAGTCGTAAAACAG